AGAAGGTTTACTGTAGCTCACAATTTGTAGAGGTTTGAGTTCATAGTTGGCTGGCTTCTAGGCAGGATGGCATGGCAGAGGGACATCACAGAGAAGAAACAATTCATGGTATACCATGCAGGAGAAAGTAAAGCAGCAAGCAGCAGCAGCAGAAGCAGCGACTGTAATTCATTAAGTCTTATATTTACATAAGTCACCAGTCTCTTGTTCTGGTTTGTCTAAACCTTTACAAGCTTACATAAGTGCTTTTAAGGTGATTACTGTGAATAAATTTTTGCTTCTGAAATCATTTTAGAGCCAATGGCAGGTACTAATGTTAATCAGGATGCCCATATCTCCAGATCCTCATTCCAGGGTCCAAAGGCTGAGCATTTGAGATACGATGGTCACAATCTCAGACTGAGGACCTTACCTCATTCTTTGACTGTATCCTGACAAAGCTGGAGGAATCAGAGCAGAAGCAAGCCTCAGGGGACAGGGCTGTTTCAGTGATCCTGACCTTAGAAATCTGGAAGCCCTATTTAGGAATCAATCTAACAAAAGAAGAAAAAAACCTCTACGCTGAAAATTACAGCACTCTGAAAAAAGAGATCAAAGAGGATATAAGAAAATGGAAAGATGTCCCCTGCTCCTGGGTAGGAAGAATCAACATAGTGAAAATGGCCATACTACCAAAACTGCTGTACAGATTCAATGCAATGCCAATTGAAATTCCAACACTATATTTCACAGAACTAGAGAAAAGAATCCAAAAATTCATTTGGAACCAGAAGAGACCTAGAATAGCAAAAGCCATCCTGGGCAACAGAGACATGACAGCAGGTATAACAATTCCCAAGTCCAAACTATACTACAAAGCCACTGTGATAAAAACAGCATGATATTGGCAAAGAAATATACCTGAGGATCAGTGGAACAGGATGGAAGACACAAAAACTCAACTCCAGATGTACTCAGCTATCTCATCTTCGACAAAGGAGCTGACCATCCCCACTGGAGGAAAGATAGTTTCTTTAATAAATGGTGTTGGAAAAACTGGGTCTCAATCTGCCAAAAGATTAAAACTAGACCCTTATCTTTCACCATGCACTAAACTAAAATCCAAGTGGATTAAAGATCTAAACATTAAAACAGAAGCACTAAACTCGCTGGAAGGTAAGTTAGGCAGAACTGTTGAAGACATTGGAATAGGAAAAGATTTTATGAACAAATCCTCAGTAGCATGGGAACTAGCAGAAAGAACCAACAACTGGGATCTCATCTTATTAAAAATCTTCTGCACTACAAAAGAAACCATCAACAGAACTAAGAGACAATCTACAATGTTGGAAAAAAATTTTACCAGCTGCTCCTCAGACAAAGGACTCTTATCTAGAATATATAAAGAACTCAAAACAATCAGCACCCCCAAATATAAAGACCCACTTCAAAAATGAGCATCTGAAATGAACAGACATTTCTCAGACAAAGAAATAAAACTAGCAAGTAAATATATGAAAAAATGTTCCACAGCACTGGTCATTCGAGAGATGCAGATGAAAACAACACTGAGATTCCAGCTCACCCCACAAAGAACGGCTGCTATCAAGAAATCAACCAATAGCAAATGTTGGTGGGGTTGTGGGGAAAACGGAACCCTTTTCCATTGTTGGTGGGAGTGCAGACTGGCGCAACCACTATGAAAATCAATATGGAGGTACTTCAAAGAGCTGGGACTAGAGGCTCCATTTGACCCAGCCATCCCTCTGCTGGGTATCTTTCCAAAAGAATTAAAAGAATCATAGCACAGTGATATATGCACATCCATGTTTATAGCGGCACAGTTTGTAATAGCTAAAACTTGGAAACAGCCCATTTGCCCATCCATTGGAAACTGGATAAATAAGTTGTGGTTTTTCTATAAAATGGAATACTACTCAGCCACAAAGAATGAGAAATTAGATTCATTCATAGGAAAATGGATATATATTGAGGATGTACTCTTAAGTGAAATAAATAAGTCACACGTGTAAATAGAGAATAGTTTCTCTGATGTGAAAAACTATAATAGTACATAAGATCCTAATGAGATAATTGACCATGTGAAATACGAAGAAAAGAGCTAAAGGTGTAGGGAAAGTGGGAAGGTTAGGGGAAAGGTAATAAAGCAAAGAGAAAAATATGAGAAGATGAAAAAATGGAAATAAAGTATCTGTAAATGGGGAGGAGAGGAGGAGGTGAAGGGAGGGCAGGGACAAGGGCAAAAAATGAGAACCAAGACCTGATACGTATAGGTATAAGATCCCAATAATGAATGTAAATGTACTGTGTACTTAAAATGTACCAATAAACTCAATAAAAAAAAATCTGGAAGCCCTGAGCAGTGCCAAAAAGCCCACCTACCTCAATTAAATGCTGAGATCTAGAAGCAAGAAGAGGAGTAGTGGGACAGTGGCAGTGAGGGGGCTCCATATAAGAGAGGATGATCAGGAGCTGACACTTACTGGGAGTCACTAAACTTCTTTCCTGTACCCAGGTACTCTGTCAGAGCTAGAGGAAGTGCACGTGGGTGGTAAATGAGCAGGACATTGCCCTCAGCTTGTACTTCTTGGGGAGAACATATAGAATTGCAGAAGAATCTGCTGGAGAAAATCTGTGCACAAGCCATAGTAGGATTACCAGCTTTCTAATCTGTTAGATTCTTGTGTTTGTTTCAAATTATATAGTCTTTAAAAGATGACTTCTATCCAAGGATATAAGGGGATGAAGGCAATTAATATACTTTAATCAAATGTCTGATATCTGGGAGATGATTTTCAGGCTAGGATTTCACATTGGCTTTGGGGGTGTCTGATTTTGTCAATTCCAGTATACTGAAGTTTTGAACTACACAGGCATATTCATGTCCTCAAGGAAGAACATTTATGCCTCATTAATATTAACTCACTGAAAAATGTCTGAATCTTCAAGGAAGGCTTTTGCGAGTGGAGGGGGGCCTTGGTTTTTCCCACCATCAAATGGGAAAGTAGTGCAGTGTGACCTTGAAGGGAATTGTGGCGATTCTAGGTGGCACAGGGTAGGCTCTATGGGGTTAGGGTGGTATGAGGACATACCAGAGGCACATTAGGCTGACTGAAGCTTGCTTTGTTTACACCTTCTGAGCAATTAGTGATTTTGAGACCATCTGTCTGCGTGGCTTCCTCAAGGGGAAAGATTGTCACCACTGTGGCCAAAGCTAAGGTCTGGATCCGACACCTGCCTGTGTGGTTATGAGGAGCCCAGCTACAGAGAAAGTGACAGGCCCTGGGTCCCATCAGCACTGCTGTCCGGGTCCTCTGCACTACATGGCCAGGGAAGACTGGGATCCACAAGGTCTCAGGACCCATAGCTGTCCCTATAGGGGAAGATGGCAAGCTTACCGGGGCATGGCCTGGCATGTGTTCTGGGCAAATTGTGAGGAGGCCTCCTGAGGCTTCTGTCTAGTGGTAACTCTGCTCTCTGGAGATGCATCATCAACAGCCTGGGAAAGCTGAGAGCTCAGCCCCTGGCCCAGGAGGCAGGAGGCTGCCAGATGTAGGGTTTCTGCAGCCCTGCAGGCAGGGGCTTCCAACTTGAGCTCTTCCTTCCACATACGCCTTGTGGCTTCAAATTCCTTTCATGAGAAGAATTCTTTCAGAAGGGTCAAGTTGCAAGTCTTCCTCCTTCTTCTGGCAATTTGTGAGAATTTATCATTGGCTTCTGGCTACCTTAGAGCTTTTGAGCGTCAATGGAAGTTATTCAACGTTAAAATTGTAAAAGATAACGAATTGTGTTTTAGGAAATTTGTGAATTCTAAAGACAAAGAATCTTTTAGAGATTTTTGTGGTTGTGTGATCTGGGCTAGTTACTATCAACTTTTTTTTTCTTTTTTAAACTTCAAACCACATTTCCTAAAAGGGAGTAATTGCAGTAGAAGATTGCTCAGGTCTATTCCAATCTCATGTTACGATTGCCCATTTTCATGATTAGAACAACAGTGCATGTGTTATGGGCCCTGGAGTAACACGGACCCCCCCAATCACATTCAAATATAATGACCAATATCACATACTTTCTTGAAATCAGAACTGATAAGAGGCAGGTGCTCACAAGGATGAGCAGAAAAGAAGTATTTAAAGTGTCAGAAATAAACTGTGGGGACCAGCCTGACTCTGAATCTCAGTTCTGTTGCTTACCCTTTGTGTGACCTTGGACATGTTGCTTGACCTCTGTGCCTCAGTTTTCTAATCTGTGACATGGAGGGGGGCTTCCAAAGGATTATAGGGAGACTTACAATAGCCATAAGGCCCAAGGAGAGAGCTACTTTAGGGATAACTGCCTTTATTAATGATAGTTTTTGGTTAGACATGCCCTGGCTAGCTATAGTTTGGAATAGGTCTTCTCTTAATTCAAGATCAGTTCTGAGTCTGGGAGTAAAAAGAAGTGGAGGGAAGAAGAGACATTTTCCTTTTGGCCTCAACAATTTGGTAAACAAGAAGTGCTGTCCACATTGTATGGATCCTCAGATGATGGAACTCCCTAAGCAGAAAAAAAAAGTGACTACTATAATACTTTGAAAAAGTAGCTTTTTTTTTCTGGCTCTGGAATTTTCATGGTTTTTGAAAATGGCACTGATTAAAGACAAAGAAACAAACCAAAAATCCCATAACCAAAAAATGGCATATTTTGTATTTTCAGGTTCTTAGTGATTTCTGCGGGTTTTTTTTTCTTAAGGTTTAAAAAATGTTCTGATTTAGAATGATCTCATTAAGCGTCATAGTGCCAAATGCTTCTGTGATAATTCATTCACTGAGCTGAGTGCAGCTTTAACAGTGTAACACAGTGTATACAATTGTCAGATGGTCTTTCCATGGTTTTGTCACTTGAAGACCACATCGATTTGTGGAAGGGTGCTATAGCAATCCCTTGCCATGCCATCCCCTCTTCATGCCACTGCTCATTGGGTCCCGAGCCCTCCCTGGCCAGCACTATCTCCCCCTCACCTGCTTCTTACAACCCAGCTGGTGAGCCCAAGGGTCTGTGGCATCACCTCCTCTATGGCTCAGGAAGTCTGTTTTGGGGCACAGAAAGGTGGAATAAATGTAGGCTGTTGTTTCTTTTGCTTTCTGTTTTTCCTCTAGATTACGATCTGTGGGTAAATCCTTTGCAAATGTACAAAGTAATTTGGATGTAAAGTTATGTAGCCTAAAGGTCATATACAATAGAGCCATTAAAAAAGAGATAAAGCAATAAACAAAATATGGAAGGAGAATGAATCAAGCTCTGGAGATACTTGCTGTTCTTGGTCTTAACTTAGCTTTGAATTAAGAGAAGACCTATTCCAAACTACAGCTAGGTCAGGGCATGTCCAGTAACAAAGACAGATAGATATAAAAATTAAATAAAATGCCATGAACTACAGAATTTCCCTTATATCATGAATAAAAGTAAATCAATTTGAAACTTAAGAGTGTGGCTCTCACCTCTGAGGGGATGGACCACATGCATCTTTATATAAGGGATGTGGACCACTGACCTGGTCGCAAAAGTCCACTGTCATAAAAGTCAAAATGTCACAAAAGTTTCTGGGACTTTGTTCTTCATATGCCAATTTCTCCTTTTTGTATTTGGCCTGTCACCTTGAAAAGAGTAAATTTAATCCAGGGCCACTTACTCTCTGAGGTAAGATGATTCAAAAGTGAAGCGTAGATGAGAACTCTGTCCAGTCACCCTTGCAGACATTATACAAGGCAGTGCTGTGGTCCTCATGAGCTGTGACACTACTATCCTGCTTTCCAGGTCCTCTTAGTGCTGTCTTTGGTCCATCCCATTGCATCCACTTCAGGGGGGCTCGAAGGCAGACTGGAGGAAATAAGAGGTGAATGTTACGGTGTGGAGATAGGAAGGGGTCACCTGCAGGTTCTCATAAATGTTTTGGTCTTTATTTGAAGAGCAATGGGAAGCCATTGAAGAATTTACTTTTATGTAATTTTGTTGATTTTGCTGTTATGTTGTTCTTAGTGTGGGAGACAGGCCAAATTTCAATCTTGAAAGTATCACTGTATATGTGGAGGTGGCAGGGTACATGTGGGAGTCAACATGGCAGGTCAGGGGGCAGATGGACAGGACGGCACTAGGTGGTGGGTAGCAGTGGGAGTGGAAAGAAGCAGATGGATTCTTGGAAAATTAGGTAGTGAGGGTCAGGACGTGCCCAGCACAACTCCTAGATTCTAGAATGCAGCATTAGAATGCCCACATGAGGCTGTGGAGGGAGGATGGTGAGTTTTGGTCTTGGCTGTGCTCCTGAGTCCGCGGAGGAGCTGTGTAGTGTAGTTTCTTGCACACATCCAGATTTGGATGGGATGTCTGGGATGGGAGATTTAAACAGGAAGCTGTCAGCATACTCATGGCCAATGAAAGGACAGTCTGTGGTGAGAGAGGCCAGTGGCCGTGAATGGGGAAGAGAGATGTCCAGAGAGCCAGTGACTGCAAGGGGATGTTAGCAGGAGGCACGCAGAGGGCTGGAGAGAATCTGGAGTTTGGGGAAGAGGGGCTTCAACAAGAGGGGAAGAGTTACTGCATGTTGGCCAGGCACCAGGAGGAATTAGGAGTACATAGGGTGAGAGGTCAGAGATGCTGCCGTGAGAGTTTCTGTGGTAGAGAAGGCAGGCAGCAGCTGAACTGGAGTGCTGGAGAGGACATGGGCACGAGAAAATGAGCAGCTGTAAGAGAAAGTAAAAGATGGATAATAGGAAAGAGGGAGATGGATCTTTGAGAAAGGAAAGAGACCGAGATGTGGAAGGAGGGGGAAGAGATAGGGAGGGGAATGGGGTGAAAAGAAATGAATATGTGTCATGTACATGTATCAGCTCCCCTTGAAGATTGTAATCATCATGTACTGCAAATACGTACTCATAAAATAAAAATTGAAAAGCAAAGCAAAACAAAACAGAAGAAACCATGAAAGAGAAAAATGGGATGGAGCCAGAGAGTTTAGGAGAATTCAGGCAGATTGTTAAGTGTGATGGTGGGAGGAGGGAAAGAGTTACATGCCAGAGCTCACACTGCTTCAAATATTTTCTGAATCATTAACTGGAAAGAGGAACTGTGTGTGCAGCAAAAGGAGGGGAATCCTGATGAGTGCTGCTGTTTCCAGTGAGCTTGTGGGGCAACTTTGGATGACTTACCATGTACTTTAAAGCTTCAGTGTTCCTGAAAATATTTCTGTGGGGCTGATAAATAGTGGCTACCTGGTAGAACAGGAATGGGACTTTGAGGGGACAAGACTCAGGAAGTCAGAGCAGAGGAGACCTGAGTAGTCTGGGGTGCCTGGCATCTCCCAGCCAGGTAGGTGTAATACACACTGTCCTCTGCAATGTAGTTGAACCCATTCCCCCTAGTGTAAAATTAGCACCTAGTCTCTGCCCTCAAAGGTGTCCAGCACTGTCTGCTTCATCACTTGGACAGCACATTCGGTGATGTACTCATACCTCAGAGCACACATCCTGTTTCTGTCTTTGCACATACCCTGAGCCATAATGGAGACAGTGTTAGCTCTTTCACCCTTTTCCTTTCCCTCTCTCCAAATAATCCCCAGAAGGGCAACCCATCAAAATACACCTCAGTGCTGGACCCAGCCTGGGCCCAGGCAGCCAGCAGCCCAGCAGTGCCAGCTCTGGACAACGAGTTCTGCCTCTGAAGAGGGGAGAAGAACCAGCCCAGAAATGTAGGCGTGAGAAGAGTGTGTGCCTGGGAAAAGGATAAAGTGTGAAGTGCCTGTCTGCCAAACACCCCACTTAGCTATGTTTTCCAGGGTGAGTGCCCACTGGAGATGAGACGAGAAAGCACTCAAAGTGCTCCTATGTTCAAGCACCATGAAGGCTCACTTTCTCAAGAAACCTGTGATTTGTGAGAATTTAGACTTCAGTATGTAACTGCATTGTTGTGCTTCCAAATGTAGTGGGTTTATTTTCTCTCCCCATAACAGAAAGCATTCTGTATTTCCCCAGGATTTGACTGTCAGAGCCAGGCAGATGGACATTGTATTTAGAATAATCAAGAAATGTACCTTGAGGGTGTGGCTATGGGGATGATCCTCCCCTAGACCCTCCTTGTTAATTGCTCTTCTCCATCATTCTTTCACTAATCAAACATATATAAGGGATAAGTAAAACATACACCCTCTGTGGACTCATTAATGCCCACAGCCTGACAGTGTTACCTGGTGCACGAAACGGGTTCTTGGGTGTCAGGTTCTGGGCACATGAGTAAACATCTCTGCTTCAATGAGATAAGGTCCAAGAGTCAATAAAGTCCACTGCTGATTTTGGGCCTAGAAAATGAAGAGGGGAGTGTCTTGGTTACTTTCCTTGTGCTGAGACAAAATACCTGACACCCAAAGTTGAAGGGGGAAAGGTTTATTTCAGCTCACAGTAGGCAGAAGTTTCAGTCCATAGTCAGCTGGCTCCAAAGCAGGGAAGAACAGCAGCAAGGCATCACAGAAGAGAAACAGTCCATGGTGTGGTAAGCAAAAGGAAGTGAGAAGCAAGTAGTGAAGCAGCCACAGCAAGCTTCCCTTTCCCTTTTATTTCATCCAGATGAGCTTTTTAGGTGGTGCTACCCACACCCTTTATCCACACCCAGAACTATTCTAAACCAATCTGTGAACCAATTTAGTTATCACACCCTTAATCCACATTCATATATCCTAGATCCTACCACTTCCTAAAAGCCCCACCTATGACCACACAGGCTTTCGGGGGCAGTCATCTAGATACAAGCTACAACAAGGACTAAACTGAAGGAGCAGGTCAGAACAGAGAGATTTTATCCATGGGTATTATCAGAAGGGGTGGAGTCATAAACATATGAACCTGATTTTGATTCTCAACATATGGATATTGTTGATTTTGGGCACTCACTCGTGCTGCTGCCATTGTGAATGTCCAATGTGGTGTATATTACATTTGGCTTGACTACCTCACCTTGTCTCTTGCTGTGTCCTTCCAGGAGTAACAATCTCTGCTTCTGGAGCCGAGTGCTGCAGGTACACCAGCAACAGCCATGGAGGTCACCAAAGCCAGTATTTATGAGGATCTAATCAATGGACAGGCATGTGCAGTGGCAGCCACCTTTGGCAGTTATGATACTGAAGGCCAAAACAGGACAGGTGTGGCAGCACTCTCTTGAGACGCTGGGTAGTGGCAGTGAGCTATGCTTCCCAGTCACCCATCTGATCATGAGGGCGAACAGCTGAAATTCTAGTGTCCTGTGTATGTAAGATGTGTCTGTGAGTCCTAAGCAACCACCAAGAAAATAATTCAAAAGTCATTAAAAGAATAAAATGTTATATTATTTTTTTTCTCTCATTGAGTTTATTGATACATTTAAGGTATACAGTACAGTAACTTTCATCATTGGGATCTTGCACCTTTACATGACAGGTCTTCGTTCTCATAAAATGTTATATTAGAAACTATTCATTTAAGCAGCAAAGGAATAATATAGAAAGAGAAAGACAACAAGAGACAAATAGCCATCAAAATATAAAATGGCAGATATAAATTCAAGTGTATTCATAATTACATGAAGCATAAATGGATTAAACAATCCAATCAATTAAACAATTCAAAAAACAGAGCTTCTCATAGTGAATAAATACATAAGATCTAATTATATGCTCTACATAGGAAACACAATTTGGATTCAAATATTCAGATAAATTGAAAGTAAAATGATGGTAAATATATTTCATTGCAAACAATAACATGAGGAAGTTGGAGTCATTATAATAATAGCAGACAAAATAGACTTTAAAATAAACAAGCAATAAAAAGCTGTTGCTAGAGATAGAGGGGCATTTTGTACTAATAAAAGGGTCAAATAACTAACTAAAAAGATATAACAATTATAATTGCAAATAAACCTGAAAAGCCTGGGAGACCTCAGGAAGATGAATAGGAGACATCCCCCATCTAACACTGATTTTTAACAAGCATCTATAGAAGACAATATCTTATAGAAGTGGAAGAACAGCTGAGAGGCTTCAGCCTTACAGGGGAGCAAAAAAACAAGAATGGATGCATTGAAGAGGGTAAGAAGAGCAGTTTTACTTTACCTGTGTCACCTTCTCCCAGGCAGCACAGCTCAGGGTCAAGAGAGACACATTCATCTTGAGATTCCTCCCAGGAAAAAAGGTGAGAGCAAACTAAGGGCCTGGTTCTCTAGCTGCTGTGGTTTGAATGTTTGTGTCCCTAAAACTCATGTGAGAGTTACTCTCCAGTGGGATGCAATATGAAGATGTTAAGAGATGGTGCCTTTGGGAAGTGAGGTAGGTCATGAGGGTGAAGCTTGCATGCCTGCGACTGCAGCTAATAGTGGTTCCCAAAAACATAATCTTGAATGCCATAATACTGAATGTCAAAATCCCAAAAGATCAGATTTCCTAAAGTCTAAAATCCCCTCAAAGCACAATCTCAAAAGATTAAAATCCCAAATGGTGAAATCTTTAAAGCCTCAGCCTCCCAAATTGCAATCCCTGTGGTAGACTGTGGGAGGGAAGAGCTGTGTGAAAGGCGTAGAGAGATGAATTCTGGGGAAAGGATTGGCCGTATGATTCAGCAATGATGAATATTGACTTTGTGTGTAAGCACTGTGCATGTATGTCAGACATTAAAGCTTGATAAATGAAGATATATCCTTTTCTCTATGTATTTGTGAAAGAAAATTTCTTGAGATCTTGGCTCATATGTGGTGACTGCAGTTACAAAGCTGGGTACATACAATTACTAACCAAAGGAATCTGCATAATACGTTTTTACTTTTTACCTGTTTTTTTTGGGGGGGGTACCAGGGATTGAACTCTGGACCTTACACTTGTGATGCAGGTGGCATTTTACCTATTTCTTTATGCACATGCTTCATCTGTTCATAACTTACACCTGTGCAGCTATTGTTAGCATACCTGAGTGTTTATGAGAGAAAAATACGTATATTCCTTATTTTATTGTGTAAAGTGGCCAATGAAGTATTATGTTGTGCTTTTATATTTCTCAAATCTCCTTTTTAAAAAAATGTAAATAGGTGTCTTTTAAAAAACTTTATTATTAGCCTGGTATGGTGGCACATGCCTGTAATCCCAGCACCAAGGAGGCTGAGGCAGGAGGACTGCTGTGAGTTTGAGGCCAGCCTTGGCTACATAATGAGTTTAAGGCTAGCCTGAACTACATAGCATGACCTTGTCTCAAACAGACAAAGCCCCCAAATTTATTATTATTACTATTGTTATTTTTTTTGTGGTACTGGGGATTGAACATAGGGCCTTCTCACTGAACTATAGCCCCAGCCCTTTTTTATTTTTCATTTTGAAACAAGGTCTTGCTAAGACACTCATTTTCCCAGGCTGGTCTTGGACTTGAGATCTCCCTGCCTCAGCTTTCCCAGAATGACATTTGGAGCTATGGCTGTCAGGATTATGTCTTTTGGGAAGATGTCTCTTGGGATTATGGCCAAACCAATAAAAATAAATATCAACACAAAAATCTGTATGTGATTGATTTATCATACTCTTCGCAGCATCTTTATATGTAACTGCCAAAAACTGAGAACAATGAAAATGCTCCTAACAGATGATTAAATAAACTGATTTATCCATACCATGGAATACAATTCAGTAATAAAAAGGAATTAACTAACAATCCATGCAATATTCTGCATCGTTCTCCAGAGAATTATACTGAATGAAAATAGCCAATATCAAAAGTTAACATGCTCTATAATTTTGTTTATGTAACATTCTCAAATGACAAAATTATAGAGATAGAAAATAGATTAGTGGCTGCCAGGGGTTGGAGTGGTGGGGGAGGGGTAGGCATGATTATAAAGGGGCAGCACAAAGAAGATCTTTGTGGAGATGGAATGACTGTGATTCTTGATTGAGGTAGTGGTTACATGAATCTACGTATTAGATAAAATAGCACAAAACTAGCATACACGTTGTACCAATGTCAATTTTCTGGTTTTGATTTTTTTGTTATTATTATGTAAGATGCAACCACAGGGCATAACTGGGCAAGGGTACAGGGACCTCTCTGTGCTATCTTTGCAACTTTCTGTAAATCTATCATTTGTTTGCATAAAAAGGCTTTTGTGAAGTATAGTTGGCAGCCTATAAGGCAACCCCCATGATCCCCCTCCTGTTTTCATGCCCTTAGGTAATCCCCTTCCCAGGAGCTAGGTCCAGTTTAGTGACTCACTTAAATGAGTAGAATTCAGCCGAAATGACACGGGGTTACAGAGCCTGCAGCCTTCTTTTGAGGCCACACCTTCATCCCTCTTTTCTTCCCCTGGGGGAGGCAGAGTCTCAGGCAGCAAAACTGGGAGACATCTCCAGCCAAAATCCAAAGAGGGCAACAGCCAAGAGGGTCTAGCTTTGAGAATCAAGTCCAACTAATCCCAAGGTGTCTGCAGCCCCAGCAACACACTGTGAGTTCTGCCAGCCAGGGCATTCAGAGACACTGTTTCCTAACACCCATAAAGTAGACAATGCAAATTGGTTGTTCTTAGCTGCTGAAATACATGAACAAATCAAAACGACAATAAGAAGGGCTGTGAACTAGAAATATGTGAGATATACTTGGGTAGTAGAGAGTGGGTATGCCAGTCCCATGGACTTTATCTTTGCAGGAAAGTGGTAGGAAGTGAGATGTGGTGTATACATTAACGACTGGCTCAGAGGACCTCTGTCCTCGTTACTTTCCCCTGACTAAAACAAAATACCCTACACTCACAGTTTAAAGGTTTATTTTGGCTGGCTGTTTCAGAGGCCACAGTCCATGCGACTGTGAGTGAGGCTGTAAGCTGGCTGCAAGGTGGAGGAAAGCCGCTCACCTTAGGTGGCCAAGAGCCAAAGAGACAGAAGGAGCAAAGAGAAGGGAGGAGATGGACCTTTCCAGTGATGGCCTCTTCAGACTAGGCCCCACCTTCTGACAGCACATTCAGTTATGGCCCCCATGATCCAATCACCTTGCAAAAGCCCCCCGCATGTGCTCATGATGATCTGGGGGCAGGGCAACATCCTGGATCTAAACCATAACAGCTGCAAACTCAAAGCAGAGAAGTCAAGACTCCACTGGAGAGCAGTGGTGCTACTGTCCCTGAGTAGCAATGTGAAGAAAATGCTCTCTTTAAGAAACTGCGGCTTGGAGGGGATGTGGGCCAGATTGGAGTGGGGGGAATCTTGGCTTGAGTAGTTCACTGCCTCAGTGGTCAAGGAGAGGTGAGAGGGCAGCACTGGAAAAAAAAAAAAAAGGAGAAGACTAAACACAGAACGCTAAGGACACACACAACAGGTCCAGGCTATCAAAGTGACACAGACACTACTATTACTCTTGAAGTTGTTAATAAAACAAGGGTGCCTCATGTACAACTCAGCTGCTTACCTTGGAAGAAAATGTACAGTTAATTTCCCACTTCCTACTATGGTTATTCATGTTGGCCCTGCTGACATCCTGTGTGAGGACACAGCGCAGCAAAGCCGGCCTTCTGGAGATCCTGCAAGTGTCTACGTCTCAAGGATTCCTGGGTTCTGAGTGGGCCACCCTACTCCTCAGCACCCATCTCTTCTACTGATGAATCAGAATGGTTACTAGTACATGTTCTGAAGTTAGATGGAACTGTTTCTCATCCTGACCCAGGCTCTGTGACTGCACCCAAGTTACTCTGACAACCTCAGGTTAGTTTTCTTGACTGTGTAATAATAGAAGAGTCCTATCTCCTTAGGAGCCCTTGTGAGAGCTAAGAATGCTGCACACAGCTTTGGGTGAGAACAGGCCCTCAAAACATGGGTGTTACTTGAATCATGAATCTCAGTAAAAGGTTACATTTTATTTCCTAAGAAAAAGTTTCATGGATGGTGAGGACAATGTGTGACTAGGTAGATATCAAGGAAAAGGCCTGAAAATTAGGGACTATGTTCTGTTTTCTGATTGGACAAGGATGAGTCTTCAGAGAGGTTTTTCCCTGTCCTTCCTAGAGAATAGTTCATGCTGACTTCTCAGAGATTGATAATGGGGACACTTCGGAAGTCCTTGGAGTGCCACATTTAAATGTGTATCATAGCTTTCAGTATCACTGTCTGAAGTATAATATGTCAGATTAAAAGGCTAATGGTCATTCCTGTCTCTGGAAGGAGAAAAGGGGCAATAAACCACTCATTAGTAAGATACTGGAGAATAGGTCTATTGCATTTATATTCTGGCAAAGTGTTAAATGAGGGTCTCCTGCCAGTTTTTGTTTATAAATAAAAAAGAGCTTTGCTCTGAAAGAGCCAATTATTTGTAAATCACCCCTTGTCTTCACAAAGTCTACAGGTTCAACTAAGAAATACCCATCCATCTGTTGGCTGAGCTTTATGCTCTGTTCCTTTGCTCAGTTTATAGTCAGAATGAATATTTAGATTTTTTTTGTAGTACTGGAGATTGATCCAAGTGTACACTAAGCCACATCCCAAGCCCTTTTTATTTTTATTTTTAATTTTGAGGCAGTATCTTGATAAGTTGCCCAGGCTAGGTTTGAACTTTTTTTTCTGTTGAGTTTATTGGCACATTTTAGGTATACAGTACAGTTACATTCATCATTGGGATCTTGTTCCTTTACATGACAGATCTTGGTTCTCATTTTTCCCCTTACCCCTGCCCTCCTTTCACCTGCTTCTCCCTTCCCTATATACAAAGACTTTGTTTCCATTTTCTCATTTTCTCATAGTTTTCTTTTCCCTTATTTCCTTTTCCCTACCCTTCCCACTTCCCTGTACCTTTAGCCCCTTTCTTCCTGTTTCACATTGTCAGTTATACAATTTGGATCTTATTCACACTTTTAGTTTTTCACACCAGAGAAACTATTCAGTATTTGCATATGTGTGTCTTATTTATTTCACTTAAGAGTAAGGCCTCAATATGCATAGGTTTGAACTTTTGCTTCTCCTGCCTCAGCCTCCCAAGTAGCTGAGATTACAGCTGTGCACCACCATGCCTGAATTTTTGATATTTTGTACATTGTATCGATTATTTGAGCATGCTCATTTGTATGATCAGTTGCTCAATAATGAGGAAATCTATCACAATTAATAATGTAGCTTTGTCAGAGATTTACTGAGTGATCTCTTTCTCTCTCTCTCTCTCTCTCTCTCTCTCTCTCTCCTCTCCATTTTGCTTACTACTTGAGTTAAAATTTAAAACACCAATTAGACATGGTTCAGGCTTTAAGAACTATACAGTCTTCTGAAAGGTAAGGTTTATGTATTGAGGCTATTCTAAGAAATGATAAACAATGAAGTGCCATTAAATGTAGAAAAGAAAGAACACATGCTATGACATTTCAGAGGCAGATAGATGATATTTCAGAATGGGACCAAGGAAAATTTCATAGAAGAGGGACCAGACTTGAGCTTGCTCTGAAAGCCAGGAAGGATCTGGACAGGAGGAAAGAGGTTAACTTGAGTGGAAGTGGGGAGGGGGCATGCGACACAGCAGGCTATGAGGATGAGAAAGAGAAGTGAGATTTTTGCTGCCAGTAGAAAGTTTGGATGTCGGATCCAGGACATTAGATTTTATTTGTCAAGCTATGAAGAACAACAGCAACTTTGTACCCACTGAAATGTTGGCTGTGGTATTATAGGACACTTGTGGCAGTGGGGATTGATGAATAGATGGTGCCTGTTTTAGAGTTCTCAGGACATCATCAGAAAGAACCACATACTGCTGGCTTACACTGGAGGTGGAAGGTCCAGTGTCAAGGTGCCAGCAAGGTTGGAAGCCAGTGAGGGTCCCCTTCGGGTTGCAGATGGCACCTTCTTTTGATGTACTCCCATGTTCTTTCCTTAGTGTGTACAATTAGGGTGAAAGGGAGAGTCTTAGATGCCTCTTCTTATGAGGACACTAACCTATCTGATCAGAAACCTACCCTTAGGACCTCAGTTAGCCTTGATTACTCCTTTTGTAGCCCTATCTCCAATTTCAGCCCCACTGGAGGTCATGAATTTTAGGAGACACAAGTGTGTAGTCTGTAAGAGGGACTGAGGCTAAACATGAGAAAGCCAGTTAAATGCAGTTGTGATGGTTTAAGAAGGAGTGAGATTGGGTGGGACGGTGGGAGGGAGATGGGGCTGGTCTGGTGAAGCAGGGTGGTGCTAGGGCAGAGGCCATCTCCTCCTGTGATGGCATTGATCCCTCTCCAGTCCTCCTCATACTTCTTCCATGGTGTGTCCCTCAGGACCGTGTATGTGAGAGGGTACCTGCGTGATGCATGCAGAGTCAGGGAGGTGGAAGGTGCTGTGTGTTTCACTCTGTTTTGAGAATGATGTGGAAGTGGTTCAGCATTCTTGCAGTTGCATAAAATGTTTTGTAATGCAGGTCTACCAAGAAGAAGGAGATTCTTTAGTGGGGGATAGCATTCACCTAAATGGAGTTGGAAATCAACTGCAAATGTTCATCTCTCAATGCTGACTTGGAGTGAGATTTTATGTATTTCACCTTTGAAAATGTCTTTGTACACTGCTTGTTACTGCCAAGTACTGTCATTAATCCACGAGCCTATGGTTTTTCACTGAAGACATTCCTCACTTGGAAGGCACTGATGGAATTCCATCAGACTCTTGAGAACAATATCACATCAGTTATCCAAGAAAATGCAGCCACCTTTTCTCTGCATATCTAGCTGTGGAAGTGGTGAGTCTCTTTACTTTTCTTTGTCTTTTTTAAAGGTAGCTTTTAGTTTTTAGCTAATTACAGAATCCCTGGAAGTTGCATGGAAATGTATGGGAAGACCCTGTGCATCCTCCACCAGCCTCCCCAGTGTTATCATCTTGTATGAACATAAGTTAGCACGAACCAGGAAGTTGACGTTGTTTGTACCCCTGGAGTGTATTCATCTTTCACTAGTTGTGTACTCACCTGTGCTCATGGTTTCATTTGTGGTCGCTGTGTCATTTTGTGCAATCACCACAGCAACCAAGATACATAAGTGAATCACTATCACTACTGCAAGATGCCAGTTTGGACCATGCCTGTGCTTCCATCTCTACCCATAATCCCTAGGAACTACTAACTAATTTTCCCTCTCTAGAATTATTTTATTTCACAAATATTACTCAAAAGGGACTTGTGAGGATACTTTTGAGATTGGCTCCCCTGCCCCCACACAGCATAATTTCCTTGATGCTCCATCTATGTTGTTATTTGGACCAGTAAGTTTACCTTTTTATTGCTGAGTAGTATTCCACTGTTTGGATGTACCACACAGTTTATTGAACTTTTATCCATTGAAAGGTATTTGGTATTTTTGAGATTTGGACTATAATAAATAAAGCTACTAAAATATTCATGCTCAAATTTCTGTGTGAAAAAAAGAGTTTTTTTTCCTAGAATAAATGTCCAAGTGTGTAATTATGGGCCACATAGTAAATTCACTTTTAAGTTTGAAAGAAACTGAAAAATATTTTCCAGAGTGACCATATCATTTTATATTCCAGAAGAAGTGTATAAGTGAACCAGTTTCTCTTATCCTTGACACATTTGAATTGGTATTATTCTTATTTTAGCTCTTCTAATAGGTGTGTAGTGATATTTCATTGTGGTTTTAGCGTGCATTTTCTAGCAGATAATGATGATGACAATCTTTTTTTGTGTACTATCTCAATAGCCTCTTGTCTCTTCCTTATGTTCTCCCCTTTCTCTACTTCCCCCATAATATTTATATAACTTTGAATAATGTGTAGATCTCATTTCTGCTTTGTTCCTTTTTCCCCCTAGTTAGAAACATAATTGTTTAAAATATTTTCTTCATATACATTGAATACCACATCAAATGTGGTCATAGATTTTACTTCAACCATAAAAATATGATTAAAGTAATTCATTAAATGATATTTCACTATATTTACTTCTATTTTTATTTTCATATTGCTCTCTTAAAATTCCCAGTCTTCTTTTGCAGTCATTGTCTTTCTGCTTGGATACTTTCTTTTAGTCCGTCTTTTAAGGTGGGTATGCTAGTAACAAGTTACCTTTGTGTTTTTTTTTTTTTTTGGTCTGAGAATTTCTTTATTTCTTCTTTATTTCTCAAGGATAGTTTATGTAGGTATAGAATTCACAGCTGACAGTACTTTTCTCTCAGCACTTGAACATTGTTATATCACTTTTCTGTGGCCTCTGACTTCAAATGAGAAATTTACTGTCATAAATAAATTGTAATGTTCGTGTCTCTCTGACTGCTTTTAAGATTGTTCCTTTTTAACTTTCATAAATTCAGTTGTGATGTGCCTTTCCAGAGGGGTTTTTTTTTTTTTTGGTTTTTATTATACTTAGGTTTTTCTCAATTTGTAAGTTTAGATATTTTATCAAATAACACCACATTTTTAATAACACTTTTATCACTGTCTGGTGATAACTGTCTGGAAAATTTTTAGTCCCATACTTCTTTGTCCTCTCCTTTGAGACGCTGATAATATGAATGTTAGATTTTTTGTTAGTATCTTAGAAATTCCTAGTACACTGTTGACTTTTAAAGTCTAGCTTTTCTCTGTTGTGCAGATCAAGTCTATTGTTTTCAAGTTTGCTTAACATGTCATGTCTTTGCCACTGTACTACTGAGTTCATCAAATGATTTTAAAATTTTGGTT